TTTTTTTTTTCAGTGTTGTATGTGTAGCAGGCACTTGAGTTTATATGAAGATGTTTGCTCGGGAGCTGAGGGGCAAAGGACCTCGGAGGGGGAGAGGAAAGGAAGGACGAAGGGAAGGAGCAGGGACTTTCAACAAGTGGCCACTGCTAGCCAAGGATGTCCAGGTAGATTGGTGTGGCCTTGCCCAGAGCATGAAGGATCTTGTAGATCTCCTTGATGTTGAGCCGTTGCTGAGGTTCTCTCTGCCAGCAGCCCAACATGATGTCATAAACCTCCTTGGGGCAGACTCGAGGCCTTTCCAAAACTCGGCCTTGGGTAATGCACTCAATGACCTGAAAGAAAGAAAGAAAAGAGATGTTCAACATCAGTAGGGTGGTTCCTGGAGGATGTCCTGACCTAGTTCTTGGGTGATGTGGTAGTGTGTAGTGGATGGGAGCGCTGAGAAGCCAAGAGATCTGCAGGTCCTCAGCACTCACCTGTTTGTGTATTGTTAGTGAAAAGTTTGTCTTCTTGGGTGGTTTTGTTTTGTTTTTTTGTACAGTCTCCAGCTGCAGTCTTGCAGTTCCCAAAAACCTTCTCTCTTTGACGCTTGCCTGCCACAGTGCACTCTCCAAACAGGAGGTCACAGGCAAATGATGGTTTAATTTATGATGTCAGTTTTTCTTGCTAATTGAAGGAAAAAAAACCCAACTTTTAAATTCCCAAACTAAGGTAATATTTTGCACAGCTGAAATGATATTTTTCTTCCCTGAAAATCAAGAGTCCTTTTCATTACACAGCCCAGGAGAGTTCTACAAGGATGAGTTCAGAGCATCTTCTACCCCCATCTCCAAGGGCAACTTTGCCTCATTTTGACATAGAAAAGCAACTGAGAGAATGAAATTTCATCTCAAATCACATCTGTGATAGAGGAAAAAAAAAAAAAGATAAATTTGCAGTGCTAACACTGTTCTGGGTCAGGTCGGTGCTGCTAATGAGAGAAATGTGAGCTATTGGATTGCACCAAAGTCTCTTCGGAGGGATGACATTGGAAAGGACTCCCCTAAGTGTCTGTGTTTTGTTCAGCAGAGGAATGGATGCAAAGGGTAGGGAGGTATGATTTGTCAGAGAGCTGCTATTACCGTCTGGCCTCCTTGGTTGGAGTTGATGAGTCCCAGCATCGCAGTGTGCGAGTGACCTGCCACACTCTGCAGATAAACACAGATCCCAAGCAGTGTGTTGAGGGGAAGCCACCCAGCAAGGGGTGTTTGGAATTTATCATTTATGAATAGTAATGGGCCTGCCACATAGCTGAACAGATCCTTATCGCTTTGCTGTTTGCATATATATATACAGAGGGGAGAGATTAGGACCTGCTGAAAGCTGAGGAGGAAGATGCAGCATGCAGAGAAGGCTGCTTTGCCATAAAACTGCTGGCAGCAAAAGACTTGTGGGAGGAGGTGAGTTATGGGTTTTGACAGGACATCCTGGACATGCACAGGAGCCCTGTGGTGGGCACTTTCTCTCCAGGACAAAGGAAGGGCATAGAGGGGAGTTAATGGACTGGCCGAGGCTTTCAGAGGAGGTGGTGCCCTGCCTCTTTCCTCTGCTCAGGTAAGGTCTCTTCCAGCCTTGAAAAAAAAACTGCTAAAAATGCTCTGGGGCTATGAGGACACTGCAGGAGGGAGTGAGCGGGCATCCCAGCCTTGCTAATGCTCCCACCCAGCAGTGGTGATGGTCAACCAGCCTGGGGATTGCCCACACTCTGATCCTGGCAGCCTGGAGCTTGGCACAGACTCAGTTTAGCTGCCTCTCCACAGGGCTCTGCAGCTGCAGCCAGGCTGCCTCTGAGGCGTGCCCTGCTGCTCACCATCCAGGAGCTGGTGGAGGTGTGTCTCCTCTGCGGCCACCCAGGGTCTGCCCACCCCCCCACAAAGTGTGACAAATGAGCCAGATGAGAGCTAATGTGGCTCCTTCCCACCAGGACGGTGTGGTCTGCAGTGGGAGTCCTCGACTCTCAGAAAGAAGTGGATACAGCAATAGGAAAGGGAAGCACAAGAGGTTTTTTCTTCCAGGGATGGTATCAAACCACTCCTCCTCCCTGAAAACTCTCAGTCCTGCCCTGCAGAAGAAATTGAGGCAGAAAGCGTGGGGGGAGCGGGGCTGTCATATTCCAGCCTGCCTATCCCCCATGTGCCAGCTACGTGTGCTCATTTGTGTGTGTTTGTGTTTCCCCTCCCAGGGAAAGGCGAGAGCAGCTCATTAAACAGTGTGACGAATAACTTCTGTCGCTGTCGACTCCATTGTTTGTGCCTCTAAAATGTTTGCGTGTGCTACTTTGGGATCTACAGTCAGGCCCCATTGAGCACACGGATGGGCAAGTATTAGAGCTGTAAAGCAACACCTTGGATTTGCCATCTCTGCAACTCGCTTAATTAAGGGATCTGTATCCAGAAAGCAGAAAATGCACATTTCTCATTACAAAAGGTGAAATTCCTGAAATCCATCAGATACACAGTAGGATAAAAATGTGCAAGGTTCCCACACACTGCTATGTCAATTCATCTTGTTCCTCTTCTCTAATACCCCCTGCTATTCTGAGAAAAAAAATATTCCAATGCATTTCTGCTGATGTGCCTCAAACCTCAGCTCTGACACCCTGCAACCTTCCCTCAACATTTTTACAGTGCAGCCCTACACTGATGGGCTGCAACTCTTGCTGTTTGAAGAACCAACAAGGACAAACCAGCTCCTTGACTCCCATGCTCATTGAACTGGGGCAAATCAGATAACAGATAGTCCTATGGCAAAGAGCCCCACAGAAATGTGCCACACGCTATATGACAGGCTTCAAACACTTTCTTACAAACTGGTGACTGCAGTAAGAGTCTCAACAATAAAGGAGAAAGAGAGCAGAGAAAATTCAGGGAATGGCAATAAGTTAGATCCCAGCAGTAATTTGAATATCCTCAGTTCTGGTTGCACCCCGAGAGTTTATCAGATGTGGTTGTTATGGAGGTATGTCAGGAACTTAGAAGGGAGAGACTGAGGATGAGCCAGTACACGGTGTTAGCAGAGCCCTTTGATTACTGTATGCCTCAGTTTCCCCAATTCTTAAACAGAGATAACAACACTTGTCCCATGATGAAGCCAGAGGAGGGCCAAGGAGTGGACCATCTATGTATGGACTTCTTTGCAAGCCACCTGGAAAGGAGAGATGACTAAAAGTAGTTTCCAGCTGAGGTGCCTCAGCACTGTTGTACCTCTGTGTTTGAGAGCTGAAACCAGGGCTGCTTTCCATATGTGAAGATCTCCCAGAGGATCACCCCGAAGCTCCAGACGTCACTCTCTGTTGTGAACTTCCTGTACATGATGCTCTCCGGCGGCATCCAGCGGATAGGCAGCATGGTGTGTCCTCCAACCTGGGTGAGGGCAAAGGCACAAGGAAATCTGAGTGATGAGAGCCCCGAGGAAGGGGTCAGCCCTCACATGATGTGGACAAACTTAGGGTTTCCCTGTCAGCTACATCAACAAGGAGCTGTTCAAAAAAGCTGGGCTGGCTACTGCCTCCCCGACCGCCCATGGGCTTACCCGCCGATCCCACCTGGTTAACATGATGGATAGGGAGTGAAATGTATCAAGATAAATTATGTCCTCTCCTCCCAAAATGGGCTTGTAAAGAAATCAAATGACAAAATACCAAGAGCACACTCCAACCCTACAGTCTGATGAACCAGGATGCAAGGCAAGAAAGAGAGTTGAGGAAAGTGCCGCGCTGAGTTTTGCAGAGCCCACTAGAAATAGGGCATGAGGTTTGTCCCTCTTCAGGAAGGTTTTCTGAAAGCCAGGCACAGGCATCTGCACATCATCTAATTGCATGAAAGATTTTCTGCTCATAAAACTGTGCTACAGGCCTTTTCAAAGAGTGCTTTGAATATGTAAATGACTGCAGGACCACACTGCCAAAAGGCTGTGTGTTTGTAAAGAACAGGCTCCTACAGGCAGGGATATGCCCAGTTTTTAATGGAAGCAGGAAAGCCAGTGCCTTTGGGAAGAGCTCATGGGTGAAGGCCCATTGGGTCTTCACAACATGTCTTCTTCCCAATGGGTTATGCCAAGCCAGGGGAAAGCACTTGTTCACTCAAGGTCCACCCTTCTCTAGGGCACATGAACCCAGCAGGTTGTACATCAGCTTTTCAGGATACATGCAAACAGTTTGAAAGCAGATGGATTTACCTTCAGATTCACTAGAGATTTCTAAACAAACGTCTCTGCACAGGACAAGTTTTTCTCTGTTCTGTCCTACATAAGAAGCACCATCTGTGGGAAAATAGCTAATTGATAAGAGCAGCCAGTGCTGGGAGCAGTGTTGCTGCAAGTCTCCAGAATTTCTTTCTGCTGAGGGTAAAGTGTCTGAGGTTTTACTGGTGAGGAGAAAGAACACTTTTTATGGGGCTGCTTGGAAGGCTGCTTGTCTCATTATGGACTCCAAAAACACAAGGGCTAATAACTTTGTAGCTCTGCAACTGAATCAAAGGAGCAGAAATCTCTCTGGCCTTATGAAGGATGAGGGGAGGAGGACTCTGGTGTCTAGGTTTCCATACAAACAAAAGCCCTCCTCTGAGCTGCCAGTTCTCCCAAGCTGCCACAGGGTTCTTTGCCTGATTCAAGAAGAATAGTGTGGGGAAGGGTCAGTCCAGAGACACACTACAGTGCTGGGAAGCCAGCGGGACAGGGCTGGGGAGGTGTGTTGGAATAGGTTGTGAAAGGGGTATGATGCTTAGCAGGCTTTCTGCACAGGGACATGAGTCAGACTTCACTGGGATTTGACAGAATTTAGGCTGGGGCTTGCAACGTTGAACTCAGATGTCTGCAGAATAGCCCTTTTTTTTCTGAAACAGAACCACCTCCACCCCCACCCCCAAAAGAAAAAAAAACAAGAATTTTTAAAAGTCTCAGGAACATCTTTCTTTCCTAAGTGCAGAGGTGCTCAGAACTGTGATGTGTGAAGATAAAAAGGTCATTGCAGCTCTACACCTCCTGTTTAGAGATGGCTTGGCTGGAGTGTTCTCAGCGTGCTGCTCTAACTCCCAGGAATGTTCCCCCGTAATGGAAATGAAAATACACTTTTCTTTGTTTGTTCCTTTAAAACGCTGGCTGCAATTTTAGCTCTTTCCTGCATTCCCAGCTTTTACAAGTTGTTTTCCCTTCTTGCAAAGGGCTCTGAGGAAATGTTATCAACAGGACATATATCAGACTTGTTGCAAAAACTGTTTTGTGCTAATGCTTATTTTATTCCCCTTTAAGTAGCACTAACTCTCCAGTTTTCCAGCAATCTCAAAGTGATTACTTATTGCAAAGCTCTCTGCATTTGTAATATCCTGAATCTTGCAGGATCATTTGAGATTACAGGTAGTACAGTGTACTGAGGCACAGTTAACTCCCTTTTGAAGTGGTCTTACAGCAGTTCAGACTCTATGAACTAGGTCCTCAGCTTACACAAACAGTATTGCTTGAAAGGGAGGGCCCTGATTTACACCACTTGAAGATCTGTCCCTGAAAGGAGAGTAGAAAAGCCAATAGTCCTATCTTAGTTCTAATAAGCTAAAATAAAGTCAAGATCTTTGGTCTCCTCTAGACACATCCTGGGGAAGAACTGCCAGTAAAGTCACAATCATAGAATCATGGAATCCTTTAGGTTGGAAGAGACCTCCAAGATTATCAAGTCCAACCATCAAGCCAACACTACTAAGTCCTCTGCAAAAACAGAATCAGAATCAGAATCTGTCAGGGTTGGAAGGGACCCCAAGGATCCCCCAGTCCCAACCCCTCTGCCATGAGCAGGGACACCTCCCACTAGATCAGGCGGGCCAGAGCCTCCTCCAGCCTGGCCTTAAAGACCCCCAGGGATGGGGCCTTAACCACCTCCCTGGGCAACCCATTCCAGGCTCTCACCACTCTCATGGTGAAGAACTTCTTCCTCATGTCCAGCCTGAATCTGCCCACTTCCAGCTTTGCCCCATTCCCCCTAGTCCTGTCACTACCTGACAGCCTAAAAAGTCCCTCCCCAGCTTTCTTGTAGCCCCCCCTAAGATACTGGAAGGCCACAATAAGATCACCTCAGAGCCTTCTCTTCTCCAGACTGTCACGACCACAGTTGATGGTTGTCCCAAGGATGTAACGACACCATCTTGGTTTAGCTCATGCGGTGGGGTCCAAGCACCACCAAACCATTCCTCCCAGCTCTGTATGTCATGTGAGACACATCTTTTACTAAAAATGAATCCGATAATAATCAATAATAAAATCAATTTGGGCAGGAGGGAGGAGAACCCAAACAACATCCAAAAATGTGTGGATCCCAAAGTAGGGCTCAGCTAGGCTCGTAGGTGTTCTATGCAGAGGTATTCTTTGAATCTCAAGAAGGATGCCAACATTTCTGAGAGCAAATGTTGTCTTGCACTACTCCCTAGCTAGAAGCAAAACAGGCACCAGTTAAAGTGTACCATAAAACCACCCCGGCGTCTAGCCTAGCACATAAGGCTGACTATTACATTTTAATGCATTGCCTTTGACTGGCCCTTCCTGCTTCCCTCACAAACTGATTAGGATTAAAATCCCCATTTCACAGATGAGAAAACAGATGCAGGAAGGCAGGGAAAGGCCCAGCTCTGAAGCTGTGTAGTAAGTGAACACAAAGTAGAGTCTTCCTGGTCTGCAGTCAGCTGTACCCTGTTGTTTGCTGATGTAGCAAAATGATTTAGAGCTGAGCACAGAGGGATTGTGCTACTGATGCTCTAGGAAGCAGAGTGTGTCCAGAGTGACAGAAATCCTTTGCATAACACGTAGTGGCTGTGATCAGTGTTATGCCACTGTGGGCTTGCACGTGAGTCCCACGGCTACATACTTCTTTTACAGGACCAGCCATTGACAGAAGCATAAAAGCAAAACGATGCTATTAAACTGGGCTAAAATAAAAAGGCTGCTGTGGTTTTTTTCTTTTGCAAAGCCAGTTTACAACGTGAGTCCCATGGCTACATACTTCTTTTACAGGACCAGCCATTGACAGAAGCATAAAAGCAAAATGATGCTATTAAACTGGGCTAAAAAAAAAGGCAGCTGTGTTTTTTTCTTTTGCAGTTTACATGGCATGTCCTTGGCTTTGGAAAAAATCGTTATCATGTCTTTAAAGAGAAGCTGAAAGTTTGTTTCAGTCAAGCCTCTGGTTGCTCAGAGCTGGGCCTGGCAGATTTCAGAAATAAGTGACCATGTAGGACTGACTCTTGTGAGAAGCATGCTGCTAATGAGTCTTTCCTAAAACAGTCGTGTCATCTTCCCATCCCCATCTTCCTCCATTTCCATCTCCTGGGAGGCAAGGGTGGGCAAGCCATCTATCATGCATGTTCATCTCCTAAAGGGCTCTAAAGGTAAAAAGTCCTCAAACAGTGGCAACGTCTCCCCTGGAGACACTCCACAACCTGGAAGAGGGATTTGCTTTCAAGCAAATAAGGCAATAAATCCTTTTCTGTTCCTCTTTTTAAATCCTATGATGCTGCCAAGCTTGCTCTTTCTCCTCGTTACTGTAATGCTTCACAGACCTGCAGACTGGCCCCTTTATCCCATTGCCATGGCTGTCTAGCTCTGCTTGACATTTTTAGCTCTCTAACTTTCTCTCCCTAGATCAAGTCCCCTTGCCCACACTGACATGTTATTCCCACAGTTTTACTCTTTCAGTTTGCAGCAGTGTCCTGGTAATAAATAGAGCAATCAGAGCATGTCCTCCGAGCAGCCAAAATTCCCTTCTTCTGTCTCCATTTCAAGATCACAGTATCACCTACTTGTTTCCATCTCTTCCTAATGGATCCTTCCAAGTGCATGACCTGCTCTACAGACACATGTCACCGATACTCCAGGGCACCTGGCCTCTGCTCTGAAGTCTCATTACACATCCAAGCCCATAGACTTGCAAGATAACCAGCCACTCCCTTTGAGCAGCTTATTGCTGTATTAGAGATGAACCTCAGGGAGCTGGGGGAGGTTCATGAAAGGCCAACGTTAATGGCCATTAGGGAGAGAGATAATTACTTAATGCTAGTACAGCACTTTGACGATGTAAAGCTATATAGTACTATGTACAAGGAGTATTATAACACTTTGTCTGCTACCGAGGAAAGCTGGTGTCTGGGGAAAAAACTCTCCTTGTCCCAGCTTTCTGAATGACATCCAGCTGATTAGGAAGGGGAAAGATGGCATATTATCCCCAATGAATGCAACAGTACAGCAGCAGGTAGTGGAGCAGCAGCGTTCTGTGAAGAAAGTGCAACGAAGCTGCAGTTTGGGCCACTAACAAGAGATACCATGGAAATCAAAAGGAGCAGGCTGAAAAGCCCTCGTGAGAACTTTGGACTGGTGGGGATCCAGG